GTGAAGCATCCTTCCCAAAGTATCAATTTTTCGAAAAGCTGTCTGATTGGAATTTGTAAAGGGATGAGGATGTGTCAACCCTGTGTATGTGGCATGGTACGTCTTTTATCTGTGAAGGTTTGGTATCATGGAACCAAAAAATGTAGCTTGTTTGAAACTGTCCAGCATTTACTGGCATATAGGATGATTGATATTACATAGCTGCTCAGCACCTATCTCTTTTTTTACACATGAAACTTTCCTATGTTTATTTTTTTTTTGCTTAGTTTTTAGAAGGCATATTACACTTTTCAATGCACCACAGATTTCTGTTACATTTTCTCTATCTGTTAAAACAATTCCCAGGTATTTAAACCTCTGTACTTATTTGATTTTGACATCTCCAATTTGTAACTCACATATTGGGCTTTTCTTTATGCTGACAAGAATTTGTCAAAAATTCCCAAAATAAACTTTTTGAAGTAAGTCAAAGAGGAAACATTACCTTTCTGATTAGTGTTCCATGTCATCAATTATAATACACTGCTATTAGAAGCTAATGATAATATCACATATCTGCAAACATTTGAAATAAAGCAATCTGGTGCAACTGTTACTTAACTGGAGCTCCTTCATAAGATCCAAAGAAGAATCAGCAATATTATCAGCCCTGATCTGGCAGCCTGGCTTCAGTCACTCAAGCTATACTGCTGTGGGTTGCTTCTCTGTTTTCGATTTTATAAATACTTTCATGGTAATTGTTTGATGAACTCTTCCTTCATAGAGACAAAGAGGTATAATGGTGGTTGTAGTAAGAAAGGTTCGTATGAATGTGTTGTTTTGGTGTAAGGAATATTGTTTTCGTACGATTGGGTCATGCTTGCACTAGCTAAGTTATAGTTAAGACAGAAGAAGACCGTCCTTTTTATGTAATCCTTTTTGGCCTTGTGCCACATTTCTGTAGTTAACAGAATAAATATTACTATACTATGAATTGTTGTTTTATTCCCCCACTCACAGACATGAAATTGTACATATGGGGACTAGTTAATTTTTTCATGGAGACATTGAAGAGTTGTGTATGTAGTAAGAATGGTAAATAAAAATGAATTGTTTTGGTGTAAGCAGTATTGTGGTATGTTTCGTTTAGTGATTGTGGCGATCAGATTTATCTTTAAATTTAAGACAGATAAAGACCATCCTTTTTTTTCCCATTCTCCATTTTGAACTTGTATAACATTTTGTATTATCATACAAATAAATATTGCTCTTCACTATGGTACCTAGATAGATATCAATTTAACTGCAATATTAGACTGGCGGCAGGCTCTCATCAAGCTAGGTAGATGTAGCTTTAACTTCTACATTGACAGTTTCTTTTCTTATACATATCATTTCATAATTCCCTTCTTATCCATGCTTTCCAGCCAACTTTAATCTGCAATAATTTAAATGCAATGACATCTCCTCCTCCTACTATCTACCGATTGCTCTTTTCTCTTTTCTGCTCATGACTTCTGTTTCTGTTTCCTTCATGCCTTGTAACCCCTTGCATGTTAGTGGCTGTACTTTCTTGCTTGCAGTGATTCTGATTAAAAAAAAAGTATCCAAGCTTTTCTGGACAACAAGAAGTATAGGGTCTTGAGTTGTATGAATTGATAAAGTTTAGATCAATTATTTTTATCAAAAAAATTCCACAAATACAAAAAAAAAAAAAAAAAAAAAAATGGAAAAAAAAAAAGGCTAAAAACATTCTTAATTATTTTATGATTAGCTGAGAAATAATTGTCCATTTATTTCATATATATATATATATATATATATATATATATATATCATATTGATGTAAAATAAAATATTTGAAAAAAACCATATTTTAAATCAATTAATTTATCATATTAATGCTCTGTAAATTTACATTGTCACTATTTTGTAAAAATAAAACCATATCTATAAGAACATTTTGTTATATATCTTATTGTTTATTTATATATATATATATATATATATATATATGGTTTTGGTAAATACTGTAGCTAAAAATTGCTGACATTCAGTGGTTTGCAGATAAAAAATAAAAAATTAAGGCAAACAGACTTTTTGTAATAAAGCACTTGATATCAGGGATAGAGTACTAATAGAATTAATACAGAAAAATTGTCTTTTCGATGGTATTATCCCTATCATGCTGATTTTCAACTTTTAAATGTGTAGAATATGTTCACTCATCAGGGCTTGACCAGATTTCCAATGTTTTGCGTATTTATATGCTGTTGTGGACATGTGTTTATTATTGTGAGTAACATAGTTTTTCATTTGATGAATGGACTCAACAGTTTTCAATCTGTTTGCCTGAATCATCTTCAAAAGCAGAGCATGAACTAAAATGTCAGCTAATCTAACAGTGATCTCATCTCAAAATCCTCACTTGCTTGCTCCATTATGTGGCCTCCTTTGTAAATCACTAGCGGGTCTTAAATGCCACTTAAGATTATCGCACAAAATTTCATAACTGAATCAACTAAGCTGTCAGATCCTCAAAACACGTCGAAACCGACGGGAAGTCCATATATATATATAAATATATTGTATATTTATTCATATTATATCCTTCAGTCCAAAACCCACATATCATACCATTGTTGAAAAGGTTAATATAAATAAATTAAAAATTCTCCAGGTTAGATCTGGACCCACAATCCTGAAATTTTGGATTCCCAAGTTTTCATTTTATGATTGTGATTGTTTTTTTTTTTTTTTTTACTTGATTTTTTTTATTTTTTTGTATGATAAGAATTTTTATAATTTCTAAATTTGAGAATAATCGAAATTAAAATTAATTTCTTTATGTAATAAAAACAGTCGCTAAGAATGTAATGTACATTAAAATTGTCTTTAAATTAAGTGGTGCTGAAGAATTATTTTTGATTTTAAAGGTAATAAATAAATATTAATGCATACATAAATGATCGAAATTTTGAGTTCTGTAGTTTATTGTATCACATTTCTTTCCTGTTGTGATGAATGCCAATTACAGGATCCCATTAAACGTTGCACCATAGGGTAGGATTATTTTTTAATGAGTTATATATATATATATATATATATATATATATATATATTATATATATATATTCCATTTATAATTACAAAGGTAATAAAATTCAGTTCTGTAGCCAAGAATAAATATTTAGAAAAAATAAACGGAAAAATGAAATCCACTAAAAATAATGTTTTATTAATAAAATCTACATTGGATTAATAAATAAAAATATCCTTTTTTTTTTGAAATTTATAGGTTCTCATAGGCATGTTTTTAACTTTATATTAAAAAAAATGAATTAAAATCATAAATAAACAAATAGGCATGAAAAACAAGAGAATTAATTGGACAAAAATGCATGACTTACATGATGCATGAAAATGCAAATACAATTATATCGAGAAAGAAAAATAATTCAGATATGGAATGAATATATAAAAGAACTCTTCCATAATGAAAGACAATTTTGGCCAGAATATGAGAAATTCATTGCCTTAACTGGAAATATTTCAAAACTGAATTCTTTGCAAAAAGTTTTTTATTGATCAGAAATTTTTAAGACAGACAGAATTTTAATTTTAGATTCAAATTTTAAATGATTTTGAATAAACAAAATTACAGAAATAATAAATTTCTTCCCTAAAATTTCAGTAGATATACTTTCAGACAATAAGTTCTTATCTATTTTCAACAGCACTGCCTAAGAAACCAAGTGCAAATGAATGTGAACTCCATTGGACAACCAGCCTAATGAGGCATATAAAAAAAAAAAATAATCCAAATTTTATTGAATAGAACATGCAGCAGAATCAAACTGCAGATAAAATTTCTCTTTTTTTCATCAAAGACACTGGAACAAGAAATTTATTTCATTTATAATATATGTTATTTTCATACAATATTTAATGCAAAATGATGGTATCATTATTTTATAGATTTTTTAAATTGGAGATCAATAAAGTTGAACTGTTAAAGGTCTTTTTCTAAATTGCTCAGCAGAATTATTCCAATTTGGGAAAGATATTAGAATAATCAAGAACCTATACTGGTAGCAAACATGGATAGAAAATAATATTTTATATACAAGAACAGAAAAAGGATAATATGGCCTTTCAATGTCTTCTCTTTCTTTATTTTTTGGTTATACAGTGAGGCAATTCTTGATAAAATGAGATATCCTACCATGATTCATTATTGGCAGAATGTTTTTTAATAACAAAGATATGCAGATGACATAGTGTTGATAAAAACACAGAAAAAAGACTATAAAAAAACAGAAAGTAGTGAAATGAGAAAGAAGAAAGGATTAAACAAACTGCAAGAAGACAGAATGCATGGTTGTTAGCAAAATATTTATACAAAATGCAAATTACAAATTGAAAATACCAAAATCAACCAAGCACAAAAATTTAAAATATATGGAAGTATCTTTTAACAGAAGACTTGAAATAAACACTGAAATCCAAAGGTGCTTTGGATAACCAAAGATTCCCCCCAAAAGCTAAGCAGAATGTTAAGAGACAGAAAAACTTAGTTAAAAACAAAGAAAAGAGTACTGAACTGTTATGTAATATCTGTCCACCCATATGGCATTGAATGCTTGACAATGTCCTCAAAGGTGAAGAAGAGGCTTGAAGCAACAGAAATGTGGTTCTACAGAATACCATTTCCATCCATGTTCAATGACAATTTTAGAGAAAATGGAAACAAAAGGAAATTTATACTTAACGTCAGGAAAGACATTTGAAATTTTAGTTGGCACATATATTGAAAAAGGAGGGTTTTATAAAATCTGATATTCTTTCTTATACATATTGAGGGTTAGTGAGACAGAGTTTCTTGTTTTTAACATATGTTTTTTAGAGTAAATGGATGGTAGAATGCTCTTTATGAAAAATAGCCAAAAGACAAAATTTATTAAGAGCTACAAAAGACAGAAAATTGTGGAGAACCATGATCATCTATGTCCTGAGGGGACATGACACATGGAAACGCCCTTCATGGTCTTTTCACTTCACTCTGGAAGTTACTGATATTACAATCATGGTCCATTACTAGTCTTAGGAATACATGTGCTCACTATTACAATTTTCTTTTCTTTTTTTTGAAATTTCTTTCTCATCCTTCCTTTTTTTTCTTCTATTTTCTTATTCTTTCTTCTCTTCTCTCTTTCTTATTCTTTCTTCTTTTTTCTTTTTTTTCCTTTCTTTCTTTTCTTCTTCTTCCCATTCTTTTTTCATATTTCCCATTCTTTCTTCTTTTTTCTTTCCATTCTTTTTTCTTTTTTTTTTTTTCTTTCTTCCCATTCTTTTCTGTTTCATTCTTTCTTTCTTTCCATTCTTTCTTTCTTCTCTTCCTTTTTTTTTTTTATTCTCTTCCCATTCTTTTTCTTTCATCTTTTATTCTTTTTTTTTTTTTTTCTTCTTTTTTTTTTTTTTTTCTTCTCCTTTCAGGTAAAAAGTTCTTTGAAGCCTTTTTTTTTTTTTTTTCTTTCTTCTCCTTAAATCTTTTTTTCTTTTCCACTTATTCTTTTTTTTTTTCTTCTCCTCTTATTCTTTCTTTCTTTCTTCTCCTCTTATTCTTTCTTTCTTCTCCTCTTATTCTTTTTTCTTTTCTTTTTTTTTTTTTTCTTTCTTCTCTTTTATTCTTTTTCTTTTTTTTCTTTTTCTTTTTTTCTTCTTCTCTTTTTTTTTTCTTTTTTCTTTCTTTTTTTTTTTCTTTCTTTTCCTTTTCTTTCTTTTTTTTCTTCTCTTATTCTTTTTTTTTTCTTCTCCTCTTTATTCTTTTTTTTTTTCTTTTTTTTCTTTTTCTTTTTTCTTTCTTCCTCTTTTTCTTTTTTTTTTCTTTTTTCTTTTATTCTTTTTTCTTTTCTCTCTTATTCTTTTTTTTTTCTTCTCCTCTATTCTTTTTCTTTTCTTTCTTCTTATTCTTTTTTTCTTTTTTTATTCTTTTTTTCTTTCTTTCTCTTATTCTTTTTTTTTTTTTTTTTATTCTTTTCTTTTTTTTTTTCTCTTATTCTTTTTATTTTTAGTTCCTCTTAAATTTTCTTTCTTTCTTTTTCTTTTCTTTTTCTTTTTTTCTCTTTTCTTCTTTTCTTTTTTTTTTTTTCCACTTTTTTTTTTTTTTTCTTCTTTTTTTTTTTCTTTCTTCTTTATTATTTTTTCTTTCTTTCTTCTCCTTTATTCTTTTTCTTTTTTCCTTTTTTTTTTTTTTCTTTTTTATTCTTTTTTTTTTTTTATTCTTTTCTTTTTTTTTCTTTTCCTCTTATTCTTTTTTTTTTTTCTTTTTCTTCTTTTTTTTTTTCTTTTTTTTTCTTTTTTTTTATTCTTTTTTTTTTTTTCTCTTATTCTTTTTTTTTTCTTCTCCTCTTATTCTTTTTTTTTCTTTTTTCTTTTCTTTTTTTCTTTTTAAAATCTTATTCTTTTTTTTTCTTCTCTCTTTTTTTTTTTTTTTTTTTTTTTTTTTCTTTTTTTCTTTTTTCTCTTTATTCTTTTTTTTCTTTCCTCTTTTTCTTTTTTTCTTCTCCTCTTTTTCTTTTTTTTCTTTCTTTTTTTTTCTTTTCTTTTTTTTCTTTTTTTTTTCTTCTTTTTTCTTTTTTTTTTTTTTTTCCTTTTTTTCTTTTTTTTTCTTTTCCTTTATTCTTTTTTTTCTTTTCCCTCTTATTTTTTTTTCTTTTCTTTTTCTTTATTCTTTCTTTTCTTTTATTCTTTTTTCTTTTTTCTTTCTTTTTATTCTTTTTTCTTTTTCTTCTTTTTTTCTTTTCTTTCTTCTCCTTTATTCTTTCTTTCTTTTTTTTTTTTTTTTTTTTCTTCTTTTCTTTTTTCTTTTCCCTTATTCTTTTTTTTTTTTTTCTTTTTTTTTTTTCTCTTTTTCTTTTCTTTTCTTTTCTTTTTTCTCCTCTTTTTCTTTTTTTTCTTTCTTTTTTCTTTTTCTTTTTCTTTCTCCTCTTTTTTTTTTCTTTTTTATTTTTTTTTTCTTTTTTTTTTTTTTTCTTCCTTTATTCTTTTTTCTTCTTCTTCTTTTTTTTCTTTCTTTTCCTCTTATTCTTTTTCTTTCTTCTTTTCTTATTCTTTTTTTTCTTCTTTTTTATTCTTTTTTTTCTTCTTCTTATTTTTTTTTTTTTCTTCTCCTTTTATTCTTTTTTTCTTTTTTTCTTTTCTTTTTTTTTCTTTTTTCTTTTTTTTTCTTTTTCTCCTTTTTTCTTTTTTTCTTTTCTTCGTCTTTCTTCTCCTTTTTTTCTTTTTTTTTTCTTTTTTCTTTTTTTTTCTTTTCTTTTTTCTTTTTCTTTCTTCTTTTTCTTTTTTTTTTCTTCTTTCTTTTATTCTTTTTTTCTTTCTTCTCTTTTTTCTTTTTTTTTTTCTTTTTTTCTTTTTTTTCTTTTTTTTTTTCTTTTTTTTTCTTTTCTCCTCTTTTTTCTTTTTTTCTTTTCTTTCCTTCTTATTTTTTTTTCTTTTCCTTTTATTCTTTTTTTCTTTCTTTTTCTTTTTCTTTTTTTTCTTTTTTTTTTTCTTCTTTCTTATTTTTTTCTTTCTTCTCCTTTATTCTTTTTTTTTTTTTTCTCCTCTTATTCTTTTTTTTTTTTTTTCTTTTCTTTTTCTTTTTTTCTTTCCTTTCTTCTTTTTTTTCTTTCCTTTTTCTTTTTTTCTTTCTTCTTATTCTTTTTTTTCTTTTTTCTCCTTTATTCTTTTTCTTTTTTCTTTTTCTTTTTTTTTTTTTCTTCTTCTCTTTTTCCTTTTTCTTTTTTTTTTTCTTTTTCTTTTTTCTTCTTTTTTTATTCTTTTTTTTCTTCTTTTTATTCTTTTTTTATTTCTTTCTTATTCTTTTTTTTTCTTTTTTCTTATTCTTTTTTTTTCTTTTTCTTCTCCTTTCTTTTTTTTCTTTTTTTTCTTTCTTTCTTCTCTTTTTCCTTTTTTTTCTTTTTTTCTTTTCTTTCTTTTTCTTCTTCTCTTTTCTTTTTTTCTTCTTCTCTTCTCTTTTTTTTTTCTTCTCTTTCTTTTCTTTTTTTCTTTCCTCTTTTTTTTTTTTTTTTCTTCTTTTTTTTTTTTTTTCTCCTTTCTTTTTTTTTTTCTTTTTTTTCTCTTATTCTTTTTCTTTCTTTTCTCTTATTCTTTTTTTTTTCTTCTCCTTTATTCTTTTTTCTTTTCTTCCTCTTTCTTTTTTTCTTCTTCTCTTTTTCTTTTTTTTCTTTCTTTTTTTTATTCTTTTTTTTTTCTTTTCCTCTTATTCTTTTTCTTTCTTCTCTTATTCTTTTTTCTTTTCCTCTTCTCTTTTCTTTCTTTTCTTTTTCTTCTCCTTTTTCTTTCTTTTTTTCTTTTCCTTTATTCTTTTTCTTTCTTTTTCTTTTCTTATTCTTTTTTCTTCTTCTTTCTTATTCTTTTTTTTTTTTTCTCTCTTTCTTTTTTTTCTTTTCCTCTTATTCTTTTTTTTTTTTTCTTCTCTTCTTCTTTTTTTTTTTCTTTTTCCTTATTATTCTTTTTTTTTTTTCTCCTCTTATTCTTTTTTTCTTTTTCTCCTCTTATTCTTTTTTTCTTTCTTTTCTTATTCTTTTTTTTCTTTCTTTCTCCTTTTTCTTTTCTTTCTTTTCTTTCCTCTTTTCTTTTTTTCTTTTTTCTTTCCTTATTTTTCTTTTTTTTTCTTCTCTTTTTCTTTTTTTTTTTTCTTTTTTTCTTTCTTCTTATTTATTCTTTTTTCTTCTTTCTTATTCTTTTTCTTTCCTTTCCTCTTATTCTTTTTTTTTTTTCTTCTCTCTTATTTTTTCTTTTTTTTTTTTTCTCTTTCTTTTTTTTTTTTTTTTTCTTTTTCTTATTCTTTTTTTTTCTTCTCCTCTTATTTTTTTTTTCTTTTATTCTTTCTTTTCTTTCCCTTATTTATTTTCTTTTTTTTTCTTATTCTTTTTTTTTCTTCTCCTCTTATTTTTTTTTTTTCTTTCTTCTCCTTTATTCTTTTTCTTTCTTTTTTATTTCTTTTTTTCTTTTCTTTTCTCTTATTCTTTTTTTTTTTTCTCCTCTTATTCTTTTTTCTTTCTTCTCCTCTTATTCTTTTTTCTTTCTTCTCCTCTTATTCTTTTTTTCTTTCTTCTCCTCTTATTCTTTTTTTCTTTCTTCTCCTCTTATTCTTTTTTCTTTCTTCTCCTCTTATTCTCTTTTCCCCCTATTTTCTTTTCCTAATTCTACATCTTTTTAATACTCTCAATTCCCTCTCTTATGCTTGGTAGTATTGTCACTTTTATTTTCTTTCTCTTCTTTTTCTTCCTGTTTCCTCTCTCTCTCTCTCCTTCCACCCTCTGTTCTCTTCAACCTCTTTCATTCTGTGCCCTAAGGAATACGAAAAGGAATATTTATTATAAATCTATATCTTTTACCCGACTTACTATGTGTTATGTAGTCTATTGGTTCATAACTGGCGACAAAAGGGCAGTTTTGATTGCTACGTTTCTCCTCCTCCATCTTCTTTCTATCTATGTCTCTCTCTAACTTTCCCCCTAAATGATCGATGTCTCCTCTTCCTTCTCAAAACCCTTCTTTCCTTGTACTGTCAGCATGACTGGTAAGCACAGAGCACGTACAAACACTTTACAACCAAAGAAAGAAAAGCAGAAAAATCAATACTCGCAGTTTAGAAAACCCAATCAGCTTCCCAACGTATCTGACATTGTGTGTCTGTCTGTGTAGATCTGTGCGTGCGTGTGTAAACGCATCTTTTTTGCTTTGTTACACACAACGCAAATCAGGGGCAGACAGACACACTCGGGCATTTTGTTTCTCTCGTCACTACCACCCAAGAAGAAGAAAAAAAATAAAAAATAAAAATAATAATTCGTGGCTCCGAAGAGGGGCTCCTGATTTTTGGCCACAAGAGGTTTGTGCCTGAGAATTGTTTTGTTGTTGTGTTGGACTTCATTTTTTTTTTTTTTTTTTTTTTTTGTTTTGTTTTATGCACATTACTAAAGAAATTGGATCTATCTCTCTCTCTTTCTCTCATATACACATGTATTTTTTTTTTAATTTTTTTTTTCTCCTTTGGTTGGGTATCTGTTAAAACGCCTTTCACTTACACATTCACTTGCATTTAAAATCGTTTTAATCTGTTGAACGGATCATGTGTGAAATTAGTTGCACTACGTTTATTTCACTGCTAATTTTTACTCTACGTTTTTGTCGTTATTCGTCTATGTAATTAAGAGTTGTTGCTTTTTTAAATGTTTTATATGGAAGTGTGGGTTTTTTGTCGAGTATATGCAATATAAGCTAATTTTGTTATTTTTTTTATTTTTAATTTTATTTGAGCTTTGTGTAGATCAGTCGTTTATTTACGTTTATGTAGGTGTTGTCACACTACTGAATTTAAAAGTCTTGCTTTATGTAAATTTTTTTTTATGCACAATAAAGTGTAACTATAATAATTCAATTTTGAATGATTATTATTTTTTTTTTTCCTGCTTCTTCTTCAAGACACATATATTTCCTCGTTTTGTCATGTAGCTACGATAAAGAAAGATCATATTTTTTATTTACGTAACTAAATTATTGTTTATTAGAATTTGAAAATGCTTGAATTTAAAAAAAAAAAATTGATCTTTCTCGGACATTTTTGTTTCTTTTTTTTTTTTTTTTTTTGTTTTTTTTTTTTTTGAGGTTTGGGAGATATTTCTTTCTTCTACAAATTATTTATTTTCGTGATTGTAAATTTGTGTTTTAGAACAAAAAAAAAAAAAAAAAAGCCTTTCTTTCTCCAGTTTCTCTTGCTTTCTTCCACACATCATTGTGTGGTCACTGGTCTATGTTTTGGGGCCGAGGGTCTCTGTGAGTTCTTGTCAAGCATGCTTTTCTTTCAGTATTAAATTTTAATTAAATAATTTAGTCACCTTTTTTCTTTCTTTCCTTCTTTCTGTCTAACGCATCTTTTTCACTGTTATCTCTTCTTACTGTTTTGTTTTCTATGGCTAATTGCAGTCCGGTAATATCCACCCACAAACATTGTTCTTTCTTCAAGTTCACTGCTACCGACAGTGTTGAAATGTGTAGTGTGATATTTGATATGCATTGCTTATTACATTTCTTTGTTTTGTTGTAACTCATAATTTTTAAATATATAAATTGGTATGTACGTGTTCTGAAACAATTTTACTTACCGTGTTTGACTGCGTATATATACCTCCCTCATTTTCAGCAGCGAATTTTTTATTTTATTTTAATAATTATTGGATAATAGATAGTATCTAATTCCTAATGTTACTAGAGAATTTCGTCCATATTCCTGATAATTTGCCCCAGTTCAAGTTTCTTGCATTTATTACAAACTTATAAAAATTTTAATATTTACGAGGAAAACAGGTCTTGTATCCGATCAAATATTGTGTACTGTGGTATCCGGTTATTATTACAGACAGAGTTTATTATCAGTACACCTGTAGTACAGGGAATTTTGTTAGTCCAGCAAATGATTCATAATGTAGTTGACCATTAGCGTTATTAACAAAAAATAATACACTTTAAAAAAAAATATTGTTTTGTTTTAATGAAAAGAAAACTTTAGTTGTTGAAAAAGATTGTGAAAGGGATTGAATGTCTGTTTGTAATGCAATCCAGTCAAAAGCGTAGTAATTTTGTAAACATGTTCATTTGTATTGAATCCACCACTATTTGATATATAATTCATAATCTATATTTCTAAAATATTCATTGTGCTTTGTGTGCTAGTATACCATAAAGAAGAAATAATTAAATACAGAACCTCTCAGATATTTTTGCAGTAACACTAGTGGCAAATATACACATACATATGCAATCATATATAAATATATATATATACATACATACATACATACATACATACACATGCATATATATTTGTATAAAAAATAATTCCAAGAGGATAGAATCCAGGTAGAACTCAAAAAATAAAAAGTAGAGTAAGGATAAGCCTATATATATATATATATATATATATATATATATATATATATATATATATATATATTATCTAAATTCAAGCATGTTTGGTTGGATAATCTAGACATATTGTGTCTGTTTATTTTTATTTTAATCCTCTCAAATTCATGTATCAATTTCACTTGGGAAAATAAAAGTAATGAGAAAAACTACATTGTCTTTCTTACTCAGTTTTGTTACATCACTAAGAAACTGATTCATGAATTTGATAGGATTAAAATAAAAATAAGACACAATATGTCTTGATTATTCAGCCAAACTTGCTTGAATATATATATGTGTGTGTGTGGAATATGTTCAAGGTGGTAAATGGTTAGCAAGTTTGTCTCAAATAGAACAATTACGTATGAGTAGTGAGTTCAATCCTCACTGGGTGTCCCTTACCTTCGAGACATAATACATCCAAGCTACGCTTGGAAAATCACTGTGTGTGTGTGTATGTGAATTTTTCCTTGTGATATTGTGTTCCAGATATCTCATCTGTTTTATTATGACCCTAAGCAAAAGTGTCCTTTCCGTTCCTATTTTCCTTAAAACTTCTTCATTGTTCACATGTCCCATCCATATAATTCATTTATTCATTTTGAATCTTTACATATATACTCTATCTGAAAATAATTTACACATATATACTTTGATGTGTTGCGCCTTTTCTGAATCAGTGTGCCCATAACTCTTCAATTATTCTCTCTTCTAGTCCCTATTTTGCTATCCATTTACACAGGTTCATTAGGTAGGTTACAGTATTCCGTCTGCCTCTTTTGCCTTCAGTATGACCTCTGGGTGTTGAATTCACCAAGCCTTCTTTCCTCATTACATTGTGTTCCATAAATTTGAACAGTTTCCATTTTGAACAAATTTCTATAAATTTGAACAGTTTCCATTTTGAACAAATTTCTATAAATTTGAACAGTTTCCATTTTGAACAAATTTCTATAAATTTGAACAGTTTCCATTTTGAACAAATTTCTATAAATTTGAACAGTTTCCAAAAACAAATTTCTATAAATTTGAAATAAATTTCTATAAATTTGAATAGTTTGTATTTTGAACAAATTTCTATAAATTTGAACAGTTTCCATTTTGAACAAATTTCTATAAATTTGAACAGTTTTTTGAACAAATTTTAAAATTTAAATTTCTATAAAATTTGAACATTTGTTTTTTTTTGAACAAATTTCTATAAATTTGAACAGTTTCATTTTGAACAAATTTCTATAAATTTGAACAGTTTCCATTTTGAACAAATTTCTATAAATTTGAACAGTTTCCATTTTGAACAAATTTCTATAAATTTGAACAGTTTCCATTTTGAACAAATTTCTATAAATTTGAACAGTTTCCATTTTGAACAAATTTCTATAAATTTGAACAGTTTCTTTCTGATCCTAAGATCAGAAAGAAACTTCAAATTTATGGAACACAAAAGCGTCCTTTTTGTTCCTATTTTCCTTAAAACTTCCTCGTTCACATGTTTCATCCATATAATTTTCAACATTGTTCTGTGGAACCACATCTCTGTTGCATCAAGTCTACTCTTAGTCTGTGAACATATTGTCCAGCCTTCATTGCCTGATAGAAGTATTAACTCTTTACCTTTCAACATGCACAAATAAGCCCTGTAAATATCAGCACTCAAAGTCTCACTGTTTGCATAAATTCCTGTGTTATTTGTGATGATGTTGTCATATATATATATAAATGAAACCCGATTATGGTAGGTTGAATATTGAGATTCCTATTTATTTAAAATTTGTTGGGTTGAATTCAATGAAAATAATAATATAATATAACAGTTGAGCAATGTCTTTCACACACACAAAGGATGTGCCAGGTATTTAAGAACATTCCTTTTATAGTTCTTAAATGAAAGATGACCTGATGTATTATATGGCATGTGACTAATTTTTATACTCTAATTTCTCTTTCAGATGTATCTAGAGCCTTACCAAGGCATCTTCCAGTCTGGCACAAGAAATGAAAAGACTCGTTATACTCATGGCATTAGCCACCAATTACAGAAACTTGGTGATAGCCAGTTTCTTGAAGGTGTCCATGTCCTTCATGTTCAAATTTAGGAATGGGCTAGAAGTCTCTTGTAGTGACATGTCAGCCGTGACTAAGAGAAAGAAACATTCTAAACAGTCAAATCTAAAGACAGCCAATTTCATCCATTAGGTCTAGGACATCATCAACTACAACCTCAGCTACTTGATGAGGGCTGTCACCAAATAGTTGAAGATAGCAGAGTTCACTATAAGATGTGTAAATCGTGTGGGCATCAAGGAGAGTGCAGTTTATGTCTGACAAGAAACCGAGAGTACCATGTGATTTTATTGAAGTGGTTGCTAACAGACTCAAGCACCCTTGAGTGTTCTTTGACTAGGGCCAGAAGGTGACTATTAGGAATAACAGGTCTATACAGACCCATGGCACCTGTAGTCATATGCACCAAGTTTATACCTTGTTATGCCACTCCATGTCTTACTGAAGGGCCTTATGTCACTGCCTACATAAGGTGCTAGTCATGATGGCCAAGTCCTGGTATATATATATATATATATATATATATATATATGATCATCATGACTTTGC